TGCCTGCCTCTACCCCAAACTTTCTAACAATGTCGGCCGTTACCGCTAAGAAGCCTTTGGTCCCACAGTTTTTAATTAAGTATGTATTAATAGCTTTCCCAAATGGTAGAGACCAATTAAATATCTGTATAATCATTAGCATTCACACACAAAAATTTTCCATTCTTTAAAACCGGAAGTGACTGGGTAGGGGTGAGCAATAATGGTATTTGGTTCCTACGCATTACTTAACAGCAAACTAGTGAATCAACGTGAAGGGAGGCAAGGTTTCCAGGACAACAATCAATCAGCAGCCAGTCCCATCCCAGGCTGTATATAGACCCTAGGCATGGCAATTCCAAATCCGTCCTTTGTGCAGCTAAGAGAGACATTATTCTTTTCATTTCTACTTTCAAATCAGAAGTTCTCCCTACTTCAATGCTGATTTTCACGACTTATCCTTCTAAGTTTTAATTCTCCATGCAACCCAGTGCTCAGTACTCTGCTGTCTCGTTCCTCTCAAATTATCCCTTTAACTTGTTTCTGCTTATTTACATAGGTTGGCAAGGCCTCTTCCCTGGACACTGTGCGACTTTAAAAGCCCTCTCAACTATCTCATCCCCATGGAAGTTTAGTCACTAAGGCTGGTACTGCTACTCTTCCCACTTAGCTTTGGAGAACTCATAAAACTCCTTTACAGAGCTGCACAGTGGTGGCACATGCCCTAAATCCCAGCACTCAGGAGGCAGAGGCAGAGGCAGGCAGATCTCTGAGTTTGACGAGAACAGCCTGGTTTATAGAGGGAGTTCCAGGATAGCCAGGGCTACACAGAGAAACCCTGTCTAGAAAAAAAACTCAAAACAAAACCAAAACCCAAAACAAAACCCACGCATAAAAAACAAAAACGAAACTCCATCACAGACATCTCCTGTTTTGCACACAACCAGAACATAGCAAAGTTACAAAATGGGTAATTACACATACAAAATAATCATGGAAAAGCCCAGTGTGGTAGAGCATGCCTTTAATTCCAGCATCCCAGCACTAGGAGGCAGAGATGGGTGGATCTCTGTGAGTTTGAGGCCAGCCTGGGCTACATAGGACAGCCAGGGCTACCTAGTATGGCCCTGTCAAAACAAAACAAAAACAACAACAAAAAAACCTGTCTCAGGTTTTATTTAAAAACAAAAACAAAAAAACTAAAAACAAAGACCCCATAATCATACAAAGACTCCTAAAACCCAAGGTTGGAAATGTGCATCAGAGTCTTTTTAACATAGGTGTAAGTTAGGAGTCTGGGCAGGTGGTGGTGGAGCACACCTTTTATCCCAGCACTCGGGAGGCAGAGGCAGGCGGATCTCTGTGAGTTCCAGGACAGCCAGAGTTGTTAAACAGAGGAACTCTGCCTGGAAAAACAAACAGATCAATTTTCTTTTCTAAACTACTTGTTCAGACTAAGAAGGGGACAGAGGGTTGAGGCTAGTCAAACAAGAACCAAACACACATGAAACCACAAACTCTTACAGCTGGATTCCATTGAAGACTGTAAACACCTGAAACATTTTTTTTTTCCTGTTAAAGAAAAGCTGGAATCGGATAACTAATGAGAAACTTTTGAAGGCTAGTCATCTAAATGCTCTCTACCTCCTGTTTTGACACTAAGGAACAGACTGCATGTACTGCGTTGGGGCACTGGGAGGCTGCTATGCGAATAACAAGCTCTCTCTCTCTCTCTGCAGACGTGCAGAGAGCTTTCTATTTGAGAAGATTTAAAATAACATTAAAGTGACTCTGGAGAAAGCCCATGAAATTCGGTCCTCAATTCAGAAACGGGCCTATGGGATAATTTGTGGATGCCATCTGGGAGCCAGGCAGTCTCATCAACAAAAGGGAAACTTGTTGAGATCATCCAAATCTAAAATTCACATACATTTTTACATCTGGACTGAATTAATCTTTTCTTGGTACTGGCTTTCATGTAATAAAATAATTGGTTGCAGGTTTCATTAAAAAAAAAAAAAAAAACCACAGCTTTAGAAATCAAAATGTGTAACATCCAAACTGAAAACTACCAAGAATTCCTTTATCAGAGAGTTTGCTGTGAGACAGGAGTCATTTACACACAACTCTGACCTGTCAGCTCAGTCAAAAACAATTCTATTTGAAACTTGCATTCCAAGCAGCTACCACAAAAGACTACACAGCCCATTATGTCATAAGTTCTGAAAGCCAAAAGCTCTATAAGCATAGTTAAATGTGGAATGGCCTACAACAGCCCCCAATTCAGCCAGCCCAGCTGAATGACAGATTTTTAAAAAAAACAAACCTATAGCACGCTGGCATGTTGCCTTATTTAAAAGCAAGGCCTCATGCCTGCCCAGGTTGCTTTCGGGCATTTTCCTGTAAAGCCAGGGGCATCTTAAATCGACACGCTCACACTGCGTACTTGAAGCTGGTGTCTTAACCCTGTTAGCCCCAAAAAGGAGGGGATGAAGAAGACAAAAGAGTTTCCTGTGTCAGTCAAAACGTTCTGAGCCCTGCCGGAACTGCCCATGACTGCGGCCCATCAGCGGCCAATCACAGGTATTCTGCAAGCAACTCAAAACTGTTGGGGGAATGAATTCTTAGGTCAGTCCACTTTCTGGAGAAGATACCCTGCAGAGAACTTGATATGGGATATGCCCCGGGGAACCTCCATCTAATAATCTTACCAAAGGTCTACTTTACTAAGAAATACGAAGTCAGTATGTTTACAAACATACCCACCACCACCCCCCAAAAAAAAAACCACCCCACATTTCAATGTCAACTGCCTTCAATTGTGGAGTATTCTCATTTTTAAGGTAAAACTGTAATGTCTCAAAACCACACCCAAGGAAAATGATTAGGTGCTAAAAAGTTTTACTACAGAGGACCGGGAGCCAAAGGCATCTGTTTTCCTGGCCCTTTCTGCTTTCTTCCCCTCCCCCACTCTCCATCCTGCAAGCCATTTGTAAGTCTTGCTTGTTAAAACTTTCTACAGCAGTCTCAATACTCTAGATTCGGGACAAGGAAAACCAAAAAACCCTTCTTGTCCCTTTAACAATGCTGGGCCTATATTTATGCACTGTTCTTAAGAAGAAAACCCAAAAGTCACAAGCCCTTTAAATGACAGATGTATTACGGAAAAATTTCCCCACAGAGTTTTGATGCTGTGAAATATCAACTCCCTGAAACCACAGAAAGGAAATGACTTACATTCTTGGAAAATGAAGCCACTAGCAGCTTTCTCCCAAAGCATTCTCTAATCCCCAAACTACACCCTGTGGCAACAGGGGGCATATTTCGCGCAAAAACTAAATGTAAGTAGATGCTTAGAAAACCAGTAAACAAACATCACCAGGTCCCAAAAAAGGAGGGAATCGTGCGTGGAAAATACGGCAAGGTACACTTTCCCTCCACACTTAGAAGTGCCCAGAACCCTTGCGCAAGTTTTCTCTCCCCGCTGTGGGCACTACACAGCTCCCGAGGGCAATGCTAGCAAAAACAGACCGGCTGCTTAAATAAATAAACAAACAACACCAAAAAAAGGTGTAAGGGGGCCAATGAGGTAATATTTCTTCCGACACTAGCCACACAGCTGCATGGTCTGAAAATGGTGCCAGCTTTTATTTCAACTTTAAATGTGCTTGTTTTGACAGCTTTCCATCTACCCCTGCCTTTAAGAAAGCGCCCCACCATTAGGCTAAGCCCTCCTGGAACTCCCAAGTGTTGTTTTAATCCTGTAGACCTCACATGGGTGGCCCCCAGCTGTCCACATCCCCGCCTTCCCGGAGAGGAGGCTAGTGGTCTTCTCTGCCTGGCCATGTTAAGTTCCTCCAGAAACCCAAATTCTGCAGGCCGCACCCCCGTCTTGTGCATCCATCCCTGAGGCCCCCTTCAGGGGCTTCCCACACTAGGCAATTGCGGGGACACCGGACGGCCGCGCTGGGGTGCCTTCCCGAAGCCGGCTGCCCGGCCTGCGCGCACAACAGGCAATACGGCACCGCGCTCGCGGTGGGGGGGAACACCCGGCTCACGACCGGTCCCAGCTAGTCAGACGGGGCGCTACAAGCAGGCGCCCCACGAACCGGGGTCCCGAAGACTGGGGGCGCCGGGAACGCAGCTCCCGGCACCCCCAGCTCCGCGCCTCCCTCGCGGCCGCGGCTGCCCCGGGGCCCCGGCCTGGGCGAGCTCCGACTCGCGCGGAGAGGCGACCTGCCCGCCCGGTGCCCGACGCCCAGAGAGCCAGCCCCGTGAGAAAGAAAGACAGACGCCGAGAGCGGCACTGCCGGGAATCACACTTTAGTCCAGCAGGGGGCACAGCGGCGGCCGGGGTGCACCGTCCCAGAATGGGGGCCAGCAGGCCCGCGTCCTCTCCCGCTCCCGCGCATACCTCCAAAGTCGCCAGCGCCAGGCGTCCGACTCGGGAACCGGCGTCTGCTCCGGCGGCGCCGAGCCTTCTCGCTGCTCCCAACCCCTCTGCCGCCGCCAGACCAACGCGGCAGCGGCCCCGCCTCCCGCCCCCGCCTTCCGCTCCGCCCCCTCGAGCCCACGCCCACGCCCCGCCTAAGACACGCCCTCCCGCCCCCCCCCCGAGGCCCCGCCCCTTCCCGAGCTGGAAGCGGAGGCCGAGCGGCGGAAGAAGCCGAGAGCTGGTGGATCGCGGCCGCACGTGGAGCGCTGCCCTCCCTGCCCCGCCCCGCCCCGCCCCGCCTGGCCTCGGACCTAACCAAAAATCCCGAGGAGGGATGAGACGACCTGGGGGCGAGGGATTGCGGGGGAGATCCGTCCCTCCTCTGAGCCCCGGATAACCGAGCCAGGCTCTAATAACATATATAGAGTGGACTCTGGCTTTGCATTCCTTTCCCCCCCCGGGCGACGGAGGCCAGGGCACGAGGGTAAATGTCAGCTCCCCCCTCCGTCTGAATGGTCCACTTCTCCGCCCCGCCCCCGCACCCCCACCCCCCCTTGACGCACCCTCGTGGGCCTAGACGGGTTACCTGTGGGTGGCTGTTTGACCTGAGCTCCCGTTTGATAATTCGGAACAAACAGGGGCGGCCACTCCGAGGGGAGGCGGTCCCCAGTGGAGGAGGCTTCGTGACTCCTCGGTCCCCTCCTGTCCCGCGCCCACCTCGCCCTCACAGCTTTATCCTGCATGCAGGATGTGGGCGCGGCCCAAGCCCATCCGCCCCCGCTCAGTCTGTCTCTCCAGGTTGACACAGCCTCCTCTGCCTGTGGCCCTCCAAAATGATGTTTGCCCGAGGTGAAGGTGGCCCGCTCGGCGGCGAGTGAGGCAGCAGGCGGCAAGAAAGGATTTCGTTAGCCCTAAAGACCTCAGCAGTGCGTGGAGGTTTCCTTGCTCCCTTTAGTAGTAAGGTGGAGAAGTCAAGTCCACTTCTCTGTTCTGCACCGGTCTGTCTCTGCAGCGGTGCCCGGCAAGGTTTAGGGAGAGCGACCCCAACTGGCCACGAGGCTTGCCACCCACAGAACTACACGCTGGATTCTGTGGTCTGTGAGCGTTGCTCTCAGAGGGGGCGGTCTGTATGTCTGGCTTTGCCAGGTAGCCGAGAAGCAACACTTGATACCGGTAGAAGCCAGCTCTGAAATAGTCCTCTTCTTTCGATCCATACGTAACTATATAAAGCTATCTGTTATTGATTGAATAGACGTGCCTTATCTGTGTGACTTGTTTGCATACAAAGATGGTCAATTTGGGGTTCCTTACAGATGCTTGAAACAGCTTCTGTCCTAGCTAGGGCTTCTATTTCTGTGATTAAACACCATGACCAAAAGCAAAGGATTTATTTCAGCTTACAACTCTCAGGCCACACTCCATCACGGAAGGACGTCAGGGCAGGAACTCGGTGCAGGAACCTAGTATCAGGAGCTGATGCAAAGGTCATGGATGAATGCTGCTTATTGGTTTGGTTCAGCTTGCTACCTTATAGTATCCAGGACCACCAACCCAGGGGTGGCACCCCATCCCCGATACATACACACATATGAGCAGGGCCCTCTGATATCAATCATCAATTAAGATAATGCACCAAAGGCCAGTGTGGTGGGGGTGGGGGGAGCATTTTCTCAATTGAGGTTCCATCTTCCCAAATGATTCTAGCTTATGCCAAGTTGACATAAAAACTAAACAGCACCCCCCACCCAAAGCATTTCCTATTTGGAGAGCATGAGTATTAAGGATTGTGATGGTTACCTTTTCTTAGTTAGGCAGTCCCTAGGAAAATCACAATTAGATCTTAAAGTGATGGCTCGTTGGTGGAAAACAGAACAAAAAGTGTTTCAATAAAAGCCTTTTACGTACTGTATATACTAATATAAAATAATAGTTAACGTTCACAGTAGTGAATCATGATGTCTTGTATTGCATTTAAAGTAGATAATGGGGTCAGCGAGGTGGCTTATCAGTTAAAGGCAGTGGTGGCCATGCCTGACTGTAGGACCCACCTGTTGGTAGGAGAAAATCAACTCCTAAAAGTTGTCTCTGACTCCCCACAAGCATGTGAACAAAAGACTTTTTCCTCTCACTTTTTATACTTACTCAGGATGGGTACATACTGGGTATTAGTTGGTAATAATTTAATTGGAGTTTAATGAGATAAACCAGCATTTACTGTATATGATAAATGAGAAACATATTACTGTTTTGGAAAAGGGTTCCTAAATCTGATTTGTTTTCAGGTTTCATGTATCAAAGTCTAGCAGAGGAAAAAAAAAAAGAAAACAACATATTGTTAGATTGTGAAACATAACTGCAATTATTAAAACAATTAGGCAATCCAGAGAGCAAAATATTTTAAATAGCTTTAAAAAATGTTTAAGATTGGACTTATTGTCCAGGATTAGATTGTGGTAAAATTTACGATGTGAGTATTTTTCTGAATTGTAATGGCCATATTATCAGTGAACCGCACAGTAATCCCACTCTTACATGATACATTTTGTAAACTACTTCAAACTTTGTAAGTAAGTTTTATAAACCCTTGCAACATAAAATGCCCAAAGAGTTGACTTGGAAGCAACACAACCCACTAAAGATAGAGAGGGGATTGAGAAAGGATGCATTTCTTATCACATGATATGGTTTTAATGTGCTCATTACGATGAGGAATGCAGTTCTGTGTGTAGTCTGGTTTCTCCTTTGATGCTGGGATCTAGTTTATTTTCACTGGTACAATGAGCTGTTTCTCTAACGTGGAATACTTTACCAGTGACACATTCTGAGCATCTTAAATTATTACTTTTTCCAAAGCATTTAAGTATCAGCATGATACAATTTTAGTTTTGTTTTTCTTTGGATCTATTCCACGGGTGTATTAAATATTCCCAACACTGGGGCATAGGGCTAGCCGTGGGATTCAAAGATTAAAAACTCACTCCTGAATCTTAGAGCAGATTGGGAGAACAGGCAGAAATTTAAGCAGTTGCCGTGGGATGCAAAGATTAAAAACTCACTCCTGAATCTTAGAGCAGATTGGGAGAAGAGGCAGAAATTTAAACAGTTGTGACATCCTCAGTGCCGTGGTAGAGTTACTCTGGAGGAACAGTGCAAAGGCCTGGAGCCTTCAGGGAGAACCCTGGGACCTGAGAGGGGAAAGAGGAACAGACGTTTGCCTGGGAACCAGTTTAAGGCAGTCCTTCTCAAGCCTGTCAACATATTGGGACCATCTGAACTTTGAAAAACTAGCAATGACTGTGCACTAGGTCTGGACTACAACCTTGGCTTTGGAACATTTTTTTTTTTTTTTTTTTTTTTTTTTTTTTTTTTTTTTTTTTTTGGTTTTTCGAGACAGGGTTTCTCTGTGTAGCTTTGCGCCTTTCCTGGAACTCACTTGGTAGCCCAGGCTGGCCTCGAACTCACAGAGATCCGCCTGGCTCTGCCTCCCGAGTGCTGGGATTAAAGGCGTGCGCCACCACCGCCCGGCTGGCTTTGGAACATTTTTAATACCCCCACATTAAGTGAAGAAATACTTGGGATCAGGAGCTACGGGATCTTAGGTAGGGTAACAGAATGAGGAAGAATCCAGAAGCATGCCATGCGTTTAAAGCATGATAACCATATCGCTTGCCCTTGAAAGTCAAGAGGCTTATATTTTGGTGTTTGCCTCTTGTTTGTTTGACAAGATCTTGCTGTGTATTCCTGACTGGCCTCAACTTGTAGTAATTCTCCTTCTTTCTCTGACTACTGAGAGAGAATCAAGGAATCAAGAGCAGGAACACCACTCTGGGTCTTTTAAGATCCGTTCTGTGGACACCGATGTCAAACACTATGGATTTCATGCAGGAGGAATCCGTCCCCATTCCTGCTGTGAATTTTCTGTACTCAGCCCTCTGCTCCCCTCCAGCACCTGTGGAATGCGAAGCCTCACTCATAAGACAGCAGGCCTAGCTTCACAAGGACTCAGCTGTGCTCCAGTCAGCAGTGGCACCCCTTCAGCTAGCCCTGCTGCTGCCACTGAGTCTTTCAACAACCAGAACTCAGAGCCAGCCTCCATCCTGGGTCACACCTTTGCAAGAAAGAAGGACTGGGCGGGGTCCTCCTGGCCTTATCTATGGAGCCTTTCTTCTCACTCTGTAGTTGAATATTCTAGTTTTCCAGGACTGAGATTGGGATGTTTGTGGGGAAACAAACCGTACAGACTGTGTGTCCTCTATCCTGTACATGCTGTATAAAATCAGTCTTTGTCCCTCAATAATCAAGGTATCCTATTGCTAAAGATTTCCTCAAATATTAATGAGCAAAGCCAAGCATGGTGTTGCATCCCTGTAATTCCAGCACGTTGAGGGACCGAGGCAGGAGGACAACTGAGTCTACTCAGTCTACATAACAAGATCCTGCCTTATACCAAATTTGATGAGCAAGTGAGAATTTAATGAAATTGTGTTTCAGTTTTGTGCTGCTGAACTGGATAAAGGTAAGTCTTTTGAAGTCGATTGCTCAATAGCATTAATCCTTTTAATTAATCATTGAATGGTGCACACTACAGATTATATTCTGGTTACTCTGTGATCATGTGACTGGGGTGTGTGTGTGTGTGTGTGTGTGTGTGTGTGTGTGTGTGTGTGTTGCAGCTTTCTGGACCCTAGTATGACAAGAAAGTAAGTCCTTATCACGAGCTCAAGGGAAAATCAAAGCTCAAAATCGAAATGGCATGTGGGTTTTACTGAACACAGACAAGTCACTTTTACAACATAAAGTGAAAAGGTCCCAAATCACATGAATTGGGACCACCTGTATTTACATTTCTAGGTAGGTGCCCCTAGGAGAATAATTAGATAGATTTAAATACCTGAATTCCATTTTCTTGACCCAATCACTGAAATCTCCTTCAGTGTTTTTATTTTGCAGAACGCAGTGATGAAGCAGCTGAGGTCAGTAAAAAGGGCATTTTACATGTTAGGGTAGGAGAGCCAGCAGGGCAGGGCCACGCTCTTTAAGTGTCTGCCATAACGTGTCTTTATCAGCTACAAAGACATTCAAAAAACCTTAGACAGGACTTAAGTAATCTCATTCAGAATGTATTTTAGTTTGCTTTAAAAACGCATCTCGATAATTACCAAAACGGAAAGTGAGCTTAATCTGCATGACCTTCAGCCAGTATGATAAATAGTCTTTGATTTGGGGAACATTTTCTTTAAAAGCCAGTATGTCAAAGTACTGACTTTTCTTTTAGACCAGAACAAAAATTTCAGCATTAAAATAAACTATGAATCCCTTAAAACCTTCGAGTACATAATAGATGAAAAATTAAAGTTTTTCTTCACTATCTGGAACTGATCTTAACTGTTCACATATTATTCTGGTGTCTAGAAAGCACATGTACAGGCATGCTTACTATAGCAGATGCAATCTGGAAAATGCTCACACAGTTAATTTTTATCACAATTTAATTCTAAACAATAAAATAATCTTAAACATTTTTTTAAGACTTATTTGTAGTATTTTGTTTTTTCAATTTTCTATACACATGTATTCATTCCTTACTTCAAAATGTGAAAAGCTCAAGGCAGCTGGGATGGCCTCCCTGCACTCAGAAGGCAGAGGAAGAAGGAGAATTACCACAAGCTGAGGCCAGTCAGGAATGCATAGTAAGACTTTG